TCATGGTAAGAAAAGCTTAGATAGTTTCATACTTTCACTTAACAAATGTGAAAGGAACATTAGGTTTGCAATGGAAATAGTAGAGGATAGGTCCTTACTCCTTTTAGATGTTCTGATCATTATATGAAATCCTAGGTTAGGAAGAGATGTTTATAGGAAGGCAACGTATGTTGGGTCTTTTCTGAATTTTCTTTCTAACTATAGTTACAAAAATAAGATTGGAATATTGAAGTAAGTAATTATTAGGATTATGAGACTAGCGGATAACAAACATTCGGCTAAAGAGTTGGAACGACTGAAGGACTTAATCCTTGAGAATAATTATCCTTTGGGACTAATTGAGAATAATGCATCTTTACTGAGGAATAAAATTTTAGACGGAGAGCATTTAGTCAAGGATAGACAAAATGAGACTTTTTCTCATGTCTTGATGCTGCCGTCATACCTTACTTCAAGAAAAATAGAAGAACTAGTGAGGAATTGGAAGATAAGAACAATGTTAGGGAAACCCTCACACTTTCTTCGGTTATGCCACCTTTTAGAGGGAAATATGACTAATTATCGAGATCCGGCTGCTACAAGATTATGTGCCTTATGCTGGTGTTATATGTAGGCTCATTCGACAAAGACTTGGGCAACACAAAACTGCTTCTAAAGAGAGCTTGGTCCAAAGGTCAAAAGTGGCCTAACCTATCGCAGAGAGTGGATATAAGAAAAAATCATTTTGCTTTACGACCAGTATTGCGTATAGACCTAAGGACACACACATTTGAGAAAAAGTAGCAAGGGTAGTATGAAAGATATTTTTCCAAGCCTCTCTATATCTAACCATGCCTATTCATTTTCGTTTTTAGTAATGAGTATACATACGAGGTAAGATAGAGCCGAATGGTCTTCTTGGCTAAGTGGTAACGTGAGAATTTTACTACAATGAGTTCCAGCTCTAACGATTTCCATCATATGATGGATGAAAGCTCAACCCGTTTCACCCGAAGCAAGGGAGGATATCTCGTGGATTGCATCAACCCGAACGCCGTATTAACGCCAAACGACTAAAGTACAACAGAATTCAGCCGTCGTCTTCTGATGGGATCTACCTACGATTCTCTTAGCCATCCACTTCCATACGAAGTAAAGTCCGCCCCAAAAACGTTAGCCACCGTTTGCATGCTCCAAGCCTATCATTATTCTTTAAATGAGAACTTAATCGGCCTCTGTCGCTATTTATAGAGTGAGGTTTCAGCCAGGTCATATTCTCTCATCATCATCCCACCTCCGTCCGACGGGATCCTAAGCTTTGACCTAGAAGTACAGGAGTAATCACGAGATTCCAGCCCAGGTGTCACATGACATGTCTGGCTCACAGGGAAAGACTGAGTTGGACAGAATCTGTATCATTACGAATGTGTGCATGCTGACCAACTGATTTCTAACGGTTCTTAAGCTTAGCAATTCATCCATCAGTAACATCCAAATTAGTGCAGGCATAACCTTCGATGCCAATGTATACTGGCCACATTAAAAAAGATGTGGCCGTCGCAACAAAAGTCCTGACCCCGCAAATGTTGAGGGGTAAGTCACGATATTACGCCTTTGATTTGCACCCGCCATGGTGCATGAAGAGAAGGAGAGTGCTTTGCGTTGCTTATCCCAAGGCCGTTCTCAGACAGACGATTATATGTTTGCCCATCTGCCCGAAACTAGAAGAATTTACCCTCCTCGGTAAAGGCACAAAAATGAAGCCAACCTCACGTGGCTCAAAATAAAAGGCTCTCAATGGATCTGATCTGAATGTAGAAAAATTTGATTTTCACTTCTCAGGCGCGTGTTCGCCCAACAGAGCACGCAAACAACCACTTTTAATGCATCTGAAGGCAGAATGGGGCAGAAAAAAACAACACTGTGCGGATTGGAATGAGCAACATCTGCCTGTCACCACAGCGAGTGGACTAGAGCTCTTCTGGCAGAACCTCGCTTTCTGTTGACGGTGAAACAGACCGACTGGGAAAAGTCAGTCAACAACTGGCACACTTAAGTTAAGTCAATTCCACAATTTAAGTGAACGCTTCGAGCAAAAGGATTACAAGGATTTGTTTGCTAACCTAGACAGGCCTAGAGGGCGGCAATCAAGAAAGTGTGAAAGACCTGAGGAGCAAAAGACTACAACTACGTGAAAAAATTTTTTTTCTATTTACGTGCACCATACGCAGGACGAAGTAGCCCAGGGCTACATGGTCATTGAAATCGGAGTCGATTCTGCGGCGAACAATCTAAATATGTAAGGTTGGTATGACACATTTGCGCTTGATTACAAGTCGGCTGATGAGATAAGGGGTGATCAGATTATGGAAGTCTACAAGAAGAGCGAAGTGCAAGATGTTGATAGGACTGAAGTGAGGCGTGTAAAAGTAGTGTAGAGTGGATCGAAATAGTTAAGAGTTGTATAGGGAAGTCTAGGCAGATATGGGAAGCCCTCCCACCTTGAGAATGGTTGTTATTCGGCTTAAATCTCCTGTGAATAGAAAATAATTGCTTTCTGAATGGGGAAGCAAGGAGAACTGACTCAGCGTCTATTAATGAATAGAAAAAATGGGACGAGCAAATAATGAGTTAAGAAAGAATGGCAATTAAGCCTTTTTAAAGTCCTCGTTAGTAAGGAAGGGAATAAAAATTGGGCGGGGGAGAAAGCAGAAAAAGTACCAAATAAAGGAGAGGACCTGATTAATCAAGTGTGGGTTCTAGCCCTAACATCTCATGAATAGTGCATATATGCAGAGAACATGCAACCACAAACATAAACACGCTTCAGTGTTTCAATATCAAAATTTATTTTGTTTAAGCACATAGACGTCTTTGATCATATTTAAACTCTTTCCATACCTGGAACTTGCCGATCTACTAGCATGTAGGTTAAGAATGAAGCAATCAACAAAATCATGAGAAGCCTTATTAAAATCGCAGAATCTAGGTGTACGAAGTAAGTTTGATCTCAGTGGGCCAACATTCCTGGTAGTGATTGGGGGAATTTTCGGTAATAATACTTTATGGCTCTGGCATAATCTGTCATATGACAGACGAGAGCTCAATGAGGATCCATCAAGGTTGCAAAGCGATGCGGAAGACTTATTCGAACAAATCAACAATCGTGACTTTAGGTTAGCTCTCCCACTCGCCTTTTCAAACAAAATTAACACGAACACAGCACGAAACTTTTAGAGGATTCTTCAAAAGCCACGTAATGTACCATCACGCTAGCAAAATTAGACACAAGTATGAATGCAGCCGGCCGTCCTTGGTAGTGTATTCAAAGATTTTCATAAATGGTTACTTCTACTTGCGACGATGTGAGTGTTTTAGAGCTATAAGTGAATTCTAAATAAAAACTTTAACCTAGGTTGTCTAAGCTGATTTAAGGTCTCATACCAAAATCTCCCATAAATGATTGTATTTAATCTGACGTGGCCTCATCTGAAAAGTTTCATAATCCTGGATTTGTGAATAAATGACTTCGCCTAGGTCTCATTAGGACCCCTAATTAGAAAATAAATCGGGTCTTGCGTATTGTAGTGACGTGTTGTTACTTCTATATATAGCCACGACTGACAGTTTTACACGGAAGATTCATGGAAGTCCAGGCCTCTTCTAAGTCATATTTACTGTGAACTCGTCGATAGAATAAACATGTATTTGCTATAGCAACTTAAGACATTATCTCCCTTATGTACGAGTATGTTTCCAAAGCATAAGTAATGCTTGAATAATAACTTTAGCCATCTTAAGTTAGCTAAGAAGACTTAGACTGATAGCCTAATCAGTTCATTGTGAGAAAGTAAGCAAACAGATCATAAATGACTTTAAGTGGTCTAGGGTAACTAAGGTTTCCATTTAAAAATTATTGCTAGCTTCGAAACATACTCGCATATGAAAAGGTTGATTTGATTTAATCAATTTTTTCCACCACTTGTTGCACGTGCTGTTGTATCATCTGTTGTACAAGTAACTAGCTGTCCATTTTGCTAACATACCCAAGATAGCAAAGTTAGGCTACACGTTTTATGAACCCATTGATAAGATTTAAATAATCTAGTGATTGCTGCTTACATCAGAGGACTTGTCAGATAAATTATCTCGATATCATCTCCGATTTAATCTATCTTCCTATTCTATTTACTGAAGAAATGCCTCCTAGTAGGTACCATAAAAATTATCCTAATTGACTCAATGGTAATAATGAAGTGGTACCATCCTTAACTAAGAGAGGAAAATTACTCATTCTTCGAAATATTAAAGCCAGACAAGCTGATAGATACGCAGTCAATTGCGTTCATGATGCTATTTCTCACCTGCTACACGATCCAAATTAAGAATTAGGTGGCGAACAAACAAAAATCCCCACCAGCTAAGAAAGGCAATTTTTTAAGGGGTTTTCTCATCCTAAGAATATCGAATCTCAGAAATCATCTTACATCAAAGACCTCAATATATCAACAGTATGTGGGTAAGTGAGAGCAAACTGGCACAATGCCCGAGTGCAAATAATAAGCGGGGTAGATGTGGATTCAAAGAATTCGATGAGACAAGTGTACAATTTTCATAAAGCACAATACTTATACTAGAAATGACCAAAAAAGTAGTTAAGAATAAGATCCTCCACAATAAGGAATGTAATATCAAGCATGAAATGCAGTCTAAGGCAATGTATAATATGACATAGCCTTAAAGGCTCTCTTTGCCTTAAAAATCCGATCTATACTGTTATTTAATAACCCTTGAATAGTGTGAACGAGCGGAAATGTATCGCTGCCATAATCCAATCCAAAAGTGTGTTAAGAATTATTCCTTGTGGCTTTCTGAAAATAAAATGGCGCATGAATACCAATACAAATGTTACAATTATATTATACCTGACTGCACATAACTATGTAGACAAGGAGTGCACACATGAATTCGCCCTCTTTTAGTCCCCATTCGCTAGATTGCTGACACTAGGTATTATGCCGATGGGCCAGTCATCTGAACGAGCCGATCACCCGGACAAGAAGCGCCAGAGAGAAGTTCGCCGTGCCCAACGAAGTTATGCTCGGCGCCGAGAAAACGAGATTAAACAACAAAAACGCCTCAGCCGGCAGCAACAACACCAAAAACATAGAAACGAAGAGCTTGGTAAGAGAAGCGACAGGTTCGTAAATCTATGCTGTTGCACTGCATTTCCAAGAGAACGAGACCAGTTACCGGAGGCTAGGCCTATAAGGAGAACAAGCAATGGATTCGAAAACCCCTGCGAAGGACCGGAGAAGCCTAACACAAAAATTACATTGTTGCAATTGAGTGAGCAGGCACGCGAAGCCAATGTTAATGAAAAAAAATTAATTTACCAAATTATGACTGAAGACGAAGAAACATGATGTTTATGTGTATATATATAATTTGTTTCAAAAATATAA